CCTTGGGCTAGCCTTCTGCTTTTGAGGGCACTTACATGGTTCCTACCAGCTAGTGGAAACTCGGTGTCTGGGATTATAAAAAGCACACACAATAGAGAAACAGCAACACACTGTCCATGCAGGACGATCATCAGCTCATCAAGAGCCAATGTCTTCCCTGAGCTCACTTGGTACCTGCAACCTACATGAAAGAGCTGGTAGGTAAGGTCCCAAAGTTGAAGGGTAGCAAATCAACAGCCACGGCTGGAGGTACTTTGTGAAAAGCAGAACGGGCCCCTGCTAGCTACACGGGACAGAGTCAGGGTAGCTTGTAGCCACAATTTATTTTGCTTGTGTGCCAGCATGTAGGAACTGGAGAGGCTGCCTCTCTTCTTTTCAGTGTTCATTAGGGTTTGAACAATGCACCATGAAAAAGTGTTGCCTCAATTTTAGTCATTCCTTCATCCCACACAACTAACCCCTGGTGGTAAAATATCATGGAAACCAACAGAAGCTGTAAGAAGCCAATCATTAACTAGCTATTTCCCAGAATGTTGCAGTGTTAAGACTCAAGAGCAGGAATTAGACTAGGAATGGAATGAAAAAATAAGTAAGAAGCAAAAGCATTAGCTTTGATAACGAACTAAAGTTAAACAGGTAGTTATACATCACAGTATTAGGCAGTTAACAAAAGCTGTAAATACTCAAGCTGTTACTCTCATCTAATACAACTGTTGCTTGAAAATCACATTGAATATACAAAGATTACCCAGACATTAAGATGCTTCCATTATACATCAATAAAACCAACGCTGTTGTCTTTCCAAATAAATCACACCAACAGCGTTGCATAGGCAACATGGCACATTGAATGTGTTGTGTGCTCAGCACTGTGGTCGTGAAACCCATTGTCCTTCCAAACAATATACAGTAAAGTTGTCACAACACTTTGAAGTTGAGCAAGATTTAAGAAAACCCCACTGGCTGTAGCAATGCTTTTTCTTTTCATACACTTGCTGGTTCGGGCCTGCCTTTCTAATTTTCAGAGCCAAGGGCAGCAGAGAGGTCACTGATACAATTCTGCCTTCCAGCCTCCCACACAGACAAGGAAAACCCACAACACAGTTAAATAATCCAGTTCTCTTCCCTTAAGCCTTAAACTTATTTGTTTGAATAATCTTAAAACTTCTTCGTACTGAATTCTGATCATATCTATCCTATCCTCTATTCTGGACAACTCCCTTTCAGTCACCGTTTCCAGAAGCTTCGCTTTGTCCTAAAATATTTAAGTCATCTTATAATTCCTCAGTTAAAAATTCATTTCACATTCCATTTCTTCTCCCTCTGGTATCTATAGAGGAAAAACTAGGCAGTATAATTGGCACTCCTGTATCCTGGATTTCCAGAGGCAATCCTTGCCTCCCTGCTGTGCTCTCCTCACTTACCACTCCTCCTGCTTCATTCTCCCAGTTGCTCCTCATGTTAACCGGTCTGAATCCCTTATGTCTTGCACGTAATTTCTCAAGCACTGCAGAATCATACTAATGATGTTTCCACATAATAAATTTTTCATGTTTTTTTCTTATCCTCTGCTTCTCCATTTCTGCCTCTGAAGCCTGAGTTCTCTGAAGTGCACCTACAACCACCATCCGAACTTCACCTGTGACCTTCCCTTCCACCATCTTCATCCCTTCTTTCTTCCTTCCTAAGGCCCAAGGCTTAGCTCTGTCCTGCACTGCTATGTGGCCCAGTGCCATTAATTCACTCCTGCACTCATCTGCTTTGCTGCTTCTTCTCACTTTCTCCTTCAGCATCACCATTAATAATTACCAATACATCTTTCTTCCTCTGTCTGGAAACTTCCTCCTACCTTCCTCAGGCATATCACCTCCAGTCTCCTATTCTTCAATTAAAACATGAAACAAGAAATGAAGTGTTCCTCTTTCTCCTGCCTGTCTCATCAGCTTTTTCTTTCCAGCAGCCTGACAATGCCTCAAACCCAAAAGTGGAGTGATACCCATCTTGCCCGCTGTGCATATAGGCACTCTAAAATTACTCATCCTACCCTCACGAAGTCTGTAGGCAAGACTTCTTTCTTAAACGTTTAGCTTCCCCCCGGCTACCAAGTCACTGGGGGCAGATGCAGGTATTTCTCCTTTCCAGATAGCTAAATCTCTCTACAAGAAAACTCTCTGAATTCTTCTTTGTCTGACACTCTCCCACAATCATTCCCTCAAGCAGCTCCTCCAAGCAGCCTGTTCTGCTCATGCCCTTCTGCATTCCCTCAAGGTCCTGTTTGAGAGCTGGCGTCATCCTTAATGTCTCCTCTATTTCTTCTGCGCCTCTTTCCTTCATGCCACACGATGAATCACAGCCACTCTGTGCTGCGTTGCCACTCCAGCAGCAAGGCTTTGAGGAAGTCTTTCACAGACCTCCAAAGCAGCCACACTGCCATGTTCCACAGTATTCCACAGGAATAACCACTGTGGAGCCTTGGTCATCTTCACATTGCCAACGTCCCAGTGCTGCTCCACCCTCCGGAGTGGAAAGAATCTCACTACTAAACTAAGAAGCAGAAAGGGTATATTCAGTAGAAGGACCATTAAGTACCTTTGTATGTTTGCTAAGTGACAAATGGAGGAGCAAAAGGAAAAAGAATAATAAAAAAAAAAGAGAGAGGTACAATGGTAGGCATCATGTCCATTACTTCTGTCACTTAATCCTTCATCAGTGGTGTAGTTAACAATTGAAACACACAAGTAATAACAGCGTACCTTTATTTTAAAATGTGCACTGCTCTGATGCAGCAGATACAACGCCAGCAATCTTCTCTTTGCACATACTACTATCAAGTTTTTAAATTTTTAAACCACATTTCTAGGTGGACGCATCATTGAGTGCAAAGAATAATTGAAAAAAAACTCATGTTAACCACTTATTGGAAATTGTTTGCATACATAGCGTGACAGTCATAGCTATTTCCCAACTGGCCTTAAACGTGGATAAACTGATCAGCTATTGCAGTTTGCTTTTGAAAATTCTACTTATTTTAATTTCTACTACAACAACAAATAAATAAAACTGACAATGTGCATATATTTCCTCAGAACCAGTTCAGCAACTTAAAAAAAAAAAAGGCAATGTTAAGAGTGTGCTGAATTGCTTTATACTTTAGCTATCAATTTAAAAGAAACTACATTAAAAAGTCTGAAGAAAAAAGTAATTTCTCAGTCTCGCTTTACACTATAAAAACTGAAAAAACATAAATGCAAGCACTGCTGCCTCTCACCTTGCAATAATCTAACCCACCAAATTTGAGCCCCCTGGTCATTCAAGGAACTGATTACAGAACAACTCCCTATACCAAAATCTTTGTGTTCAGGCAACTTTGTGCATCTTAGTAAATCAAAAACACCAGCCTCGGTAGAGCAAGCCAGCAACTGTACTAAACCACCTTCCAGTTCACAAGTTTCAAAAATGAAAAACAATAACAAAAAAACAAAATAAACAAAATCGGCCAAACAAAAAAACAACCTACCACCCATCTATTGGTTGCATCTGATTTCTATTTATCCAGCTTACTCAGGAAAGCATATCCTGCAAGCCCTGTCCTAGGGAACACCCGTGTGCTTAATACGACCTACGTGAGTAATCACACACCGAATTAATGGGAGTATTCATGCACGCAAAGTTAAGGACACACACAACTGTCTACAGGACATGTGCATTAATTTGCACCCTATACAATATATTGATTGCCGTCCCATATCATAAATGAGCAGTCACTACTAGGCCATAGGCAATAGTTTCAAGGTATTTTCTGGCATAGATACAACTAACACACTTGGGGAAACACAAGACTTCTCTTGTTTGAGAGAGAGGTTCTCTGAATTAGTAATGGATATACAGGCTGTAGGCCTTGGAACTGGGCCCAATGTATACTGAAGAATTAACACTCACTGCAATTATTTAAAATAGTAAGAATGGGGAGTTATTCTCTTAGTGCTCCAAATTGAATGCACTTTAACAGCACAATTGTACATGCAAAAATAATTATACACCAAATGCAGAGCAAATTTTTGCAAGTCTTCCAATATCACTCAAATTCTAAATGACCTACTCAGATTTCATCATTAGTTTATACATGGGATACAGTAAAATTGTTCTTTATTCATTATTTAGCAATATAAACCCTGGATGAGCATTGTTGTTTGTTCTCATTAACAGTATCATTTTGGTTCAGGATTAGTGTCAGAAAATAGTGTGCTTTTTATTCTATCTTGGAAATGTAGAGAAGGGTCATATTTTTCTGCCGCCTTTTAAGTGGGATCTCTTGAACACTTAAAAGTATAAGTTTCAGTTAGTAAATAGTACTTCTTACAAAAATATAACTTTTCAGACAACATGAAAAACAGTTGAAGAAAAATGCTTCATCTTTCAGAACAAAACCTAGAACGCAACCTATCTTCCAGTGAGTTTTAACGTGCAAGTGAACGTAACAGAGCAAAAGCCCCACACAAAATTGGTCAGCTTGCAGCAATACAGGTAGGACTTACCCTCATGAAGTACACATATTTGCTCCAAACCATTCAAGAAATACTATGGCACATGCATCTAGATCACATCCATTTTCCCCCCACAAGTGACTTTTCATTCTTCAAGAACCTAATGCGTTCCATAAAGCTGAGGATTATATGACCACAGGAACCTCATTACACTCAGTTTCTTGCTTTATGGTGGGATGAAAAATAATCAGTATTCATTTTCATGTTGATAGAGTTCAAAGTGCCTCTATAAGCCTCCTGTTAATTCACGCTAAACCCCAAATACCAGTATATCTGCTAAAGAACACCATGAGGAAAATGGTCAAAGATTCTTTTGCTGTAGCAGAGATTACAACAATATGATGAAAGAAACTGAAGTAAATTAACAAAATTCAAGATTAGCTTTCTTCCCTTTTTAATGTAGGATTTCGGGTATCCTTTCACAAGGTTCTTCCTCCCCCCTTTTAAGCTACACCCTTCTTTTCTATATGGAAGCATTGCAATGTTTATTTTCAAACTACAAACAAAAAAAAAAGAACCACCCCTCTATCCCTGAAAAGCACCAGTTAAAATCTGATGGGAAAATGAAACAGCAAACAAAAACTCCATGGACCACCCTTTGGGATGAAAGGCTAAAGATGTCTTTTTTTAATCAATCAGCTTGTGAAGTTCTACAAAAAAATAAAAAGGATCACATTCTAAAGGTTCAGTGCATTCAGCAGCTATATAGTTTTGCTGCTTATTCATCTTTACGTTGACTTTCAAAAATAACACCCTAGCTCATCAAAATATACATTTTCCATTTCCTTTTAAATTAAAATAATAATAAAAACATTTAAAGAATTCACAATCAATAGCATGACTAAGTTTCAGGATCATCTACAGCATATAATTTAAAGTTTCAAGATGCCAATATGCAGCACGCGGCAGGCCTATATGCTCCATGCAGCATGTATGCTTCGGGTAATCTTGAATAACCTTGATATTCAAACTTCCACTTGTTTCTTCCAAATTGTGTAGAATACCCATCTAAAAAAGAATGAGCAGTCAAGGAAAAACAAAAAGCAGTATGTGTAGCACACAGTTAAAATGAAGTAGTTCTTTTTAATCTCCATTTCTATTTTGGAAACTTATCGTAGCTTGTAATGATGGGGTAGATAAAAATCTCAAAGTGAAATCTCCCTGGATCTTCTTTCCTTTTTATTTATTTTTGCTCAACAACTCAAAGGAGCACCTGATTTTTACTGAAATTTAAGTCCTTTAGAAACCTATTGATTCTAATCTCTACTGCAGAGTCAGGCTGTGCATTTGACATTGCAACCACTGAATGAAGTACAGAAAAAAAAAACGTGGAAAGAGTAATCAAAACTCCAGGTCTTTACTGAGGTGTCAACTGAGTTGAGATCCCTCTGCCTCATCTTCTTGAGCATAAAGTACCAAGTGTGAAGGGGAAAGTGACTCCAGCCAGCTACATTGCAGGCATGATCACATGCAATACTGAGACATTCAGTAGCAGAACACTGAGTGTCCAGGTAAAGATTTGGAGTGCCTATTGTCTCTTAAATTACAGAATGGTTCAGGTTGGAAGAGATGTCTAGAGATCACCTAGTCCAACCCCCTGCTCCAGCAGGGACACCTAGAGCACGTGGCACAGGGTGGCATCCAGGCGGGTTTGGAAGATCTCCAGAGAAGGAGACTCCACAGCCTCTCTGGGCAGCCTGTTCCAGGGCTCTGTCACGCTCACAGGAAATATGTTCTTCCTCACATGGAGATGGAACTTCCTGTGTTTCCACTTGTACCCATGACCCCTTGTCCTGTCAGGCCAAGATCCCATTGGCCTTCTTGGCCATGAGGGCACATTGCTGCCTCATGGTTAACTTGTTTTCAACCAGGACTCCCAAATCCCTCTCTGTGGAGCTGCTTTCCAGCAGGTCAACCCCTAATCTGTACTGGTGCCTGGGGTTATTCCTCCCCAGATGCAGGACCTTGCACTTGTCCTTGTTGAACCTCATGACGTTCCTCTCTGGCCAACTCTCCACCCTGTCCAGGTGCCTCTGAATGGCAGCACAGCCCTCAGGAGTGTTGGCCACTCCTCACAGTTTGGCAAAATGCCTCAGAAGGGGTTCTCTTGAATGCTCTCTAACAGACAGATACATCTGAATTTTGCCTAGGTTTCTCTAAGTCTCTTCTATTAGCACAGTGAGGTCATATGTGCTCCAGATGGGAGCCTGAATGTTCAGCGGAGGGTCCCAGTGGTGACCTCAGTGACACATACACTTTCCTTAAAATAGTGACTTAGCTTCTGTGTTCATAGCTTCTTGAATTTCAGCTGATTCCGACTACACACTGATAAACAACTCCTGTGTAATTTTATTTGGAATTCAAATTCTGCAAGTATGCAAAGAAATTATCAAATAAAACCAATAATCCAGTAGTTTTACTGCATTCGGGAAACCCTGCAGATAATCTTTGGTTACATTATAAAGATGAATATTTGCATAAATAAATAATAACCCAATGTCTCACAGGCTTCAAGTGCTTAACAAACACTAAAATGCCCTGTGAGAAACAGAAGCCTTTTTTCCTTTTTTTCCTCCTCCAATTTTCACAATATTAATATAAACGATTGCATTTCACAATCACCTGTGAAACTGCATTTAGGTATAATCTCCCATTCGGATGTATGATATCTGTTTGGAAATCTCTTAAGAAGGGTGGTAACTTGTGCTTGAAATGCAGGTAAAGGCATATCAGAAGTCTAAGACTAACTTGAAGAATAAACCAAGGGTTTGTTACTGCACATCTTACTTTGCAATGGGATATCTGAAGTCATCAAGATTATCTCCTCTTAACATTCCCATATGAATATTGGTATTTCGTAGGATGACAATGCAGTCAGAAACAGCAAACTAAAAACCTTCCCTGTTTCTCTTTAAAAGTTGTTTACTTTTAACCTTATTATGGTTATTTAATTTCCAGAAATCTTCCTATCGGTTAGCTTACTAGAGACATTTATTTTCCAAAGAAATGAAGTCGTATATCCTAGTCAATTCATTTGGAAACCTCTTGCCTGTATCTGAATAAACAATGCAATAAATATTCAGATAATTTTTTGAGAATACACAATTCAAGTAACTGTTCATATTGCATTAAAGCATGATATTTGCAATTAAAGACAACGATAACTAACCAAGTATATCTGTAATGTAAGCCACCAGAGTAAATAGTTTCATATCCACTTCATTTCACCCTTACTTTTTCGTCTTGGAAATGTTTTTATAACAAATCTGAATTTCACTAGAGACCTGACAGTAATGAGAAGTAGAAAGAGCTTCTTTGCTTCTTCCTTCTAACAGAAGGAGCAGTTAGCAAGGCCTCCACAACAGAAGGCTACAACATTAGATGAAAAGATTTAAGAGGGGGTGGGGGGTGAAAAAAAGGATAAACAACTGCAGGAAACAGAAGAAAGACTGTCAGGATTTCATAAGCTTAACATTGTGAATAAACAGATCCTAGAAAGATCTTTTCCATCAGAAAATGGAGAGCTGTGGAGATAGTTACAGGGAGATCACTTGCAAAATCTAAGGCACATTGGAGCCAGCAAAACTATCCCATAATATATCAAAATGTCTTTCTAGACCTAAAGTCTTAGAGACATAACTTCTAACTCCTTGCATAACTTTTCTGTTACCCATAAAATTAAGAACTTCTAAAGGAATATTTTCAGGACTGGGGATAAAAAGAATTTTTTTTTAAAAAAAGGCAAGAAGTCCTTCTTTCACTTATTGCAGATGAAATTGTCTATCTACTCCATTTAGAATTTTTTTTGATAGCAAGGCTCAATGATTTTTAGATTTTTTTTTTCTCTATTAATACCTATCTCAAGACATATAGCCTGGAATAATGCTATCAGAGAATACCTGAGATATGTATACCAGAGATATGTTTCATGGTACTCAGATTAGTCTTTTTATTTCTCCACAAAAGAAGAGAAACAAGGTACAGGCTTGCCTAAACTCCCAAGCAGTTTTACTCAAAGAATAATCATAAAGATTATCTTGCATAGTATAAACAATATACTTGTCAACATTTAAAAAATTAAGCAAAACATGGCATAACCTTGAAAGCTAGTGAGCATTTCAGCACCTTTGAACTTAAGCCACTTTTAAAAATAAAATAATTACTGCAGTCATCACCCTTCATAATACTACTTCACTCATTCATTTACTATGAAAAATGATTAATAGCCATCTGCCTTCTTGCACTTAAATTTGTTAACCTCTAAGCAGTCTAGACTCACTATATACATTAATATGAACTTTTTTAGCCTCTAAGGATACAATTCCATGTAGGAGGGAACGCATACGATTTCTTTTGAAAATTCCACAGGACAATAGAGCCTGCTGAGCTGTTCTTCATACAGAGTCAAGGCATCGGTCAGATTGATACAGTTTCCCTGAAGGAAAAAAAAAAGTTTCAGTTGTAATCAAATATGTAACCAAAGACACAGATGAACATATACATTTAGATGTTAATGCAAGGCTTCATATACTTCAGCATCACATACATCCTGTTCTTAAGATTTATTATTTACAAGGCAAATATCAAATAGCTTGTCTTCATTTAGCCTACAGCAAGCAACAATTTGTATCTTTTCATGAAAGACTGAGTATGGAGGGACTTATCCATCTTCTTATGAGTAGAAACAGCCATCACATCAGGCTTCTAGTTAAAAGAGACCACCGTGTGTTGTTTACCTACCACATCTACTCAATAACCATTTACTTTATGATTGCTTAAATATATTAGTAAACACTTTTTACAACATCCAGACTTTCTCAATTGTTTAACTTTGTCAAGGTCTTTACAATATTAGAATGCAGCACTAAAAGAGCCACAACTTATCCATTTTAAACTGATTCTTCCATGTGACAAAACAAATCAGATTATGCCTCAGTTCTGCTGGCTGTAGGCCACATTGTCTTGAGCTGCTCTGTATCATGCTTCTGAAAAGGAAATGTTTCCCATGATTTTTTTTTTCTTGGAACTGTGAGTGTCTAAGAATATTAGCAACATCCTTTTCTAAACAACAACGAAAACAATTAATGCTTAAATGATCTTCTCTAAGAGTGCAATAAGGAAATAATAGACATCCTGAATTCACAGGCCTTCCTAAACAGGCAAATAAATATCTATTCCCCTCCCCCAATCACATAATTACTGGACTACAAATTTGTGTTTATAATTGGAGAGAGGGAAAAAAAGCAACTCCCATTTACAAGCACAAGCTTGTCCAAGGTCGAGCAGTAACAAGCATGCTTTTCAACGTACTTACAGGCAACTCATGTACTGAAAGCTCTAATAACACACATAACTAACCGTATATACCCGGAACTATATCATACACCTGTTTTGACACTGTAAGAATAAGAGTGACCTAGCCCTCTGAACACCAAGGCACATAGAGACCCTTCAGCATATTACTTGAGACCACTAACTACAGAGCACAAAGGAAAACAAAGTGATATTTAAACATAAAGGACAGACAAATTTAAACTAAGAACTGTCAACTGAAGCACATAGAGATACAACATCTCCTTTGGTTGTCTTCAATGTTTTCAAAATGCCCAATGAAAAATGACAACATTTGTAGGCAAACTAAGCAGGGCACCATTGACAAGGAAATCCAGACAGTCTGAATGGACTACAACAAACTAAATTAACTCCTTAGTTTCAGGTAGCGTTCTCCATGTAACAACAGAGAGGCTAGCAATAAGAAGTTCAGGTTTGTCTTTTTGATATATTCTAACCAGAACACACAATGTTTTAGTTTGGTTTTAATTATGAATGAAACAAAAAGGCCAAAAAGAACTGGCAGGTTTTTCTTCATGAGGCTTAACGCTTGTCATTTGATATAAATTCTACTCAGACGAGGCACGTATTAGAGTTCAGCCTGAAACAGAACATCTATCTAAATAATTTGGCTGCTTCAAAGAATTTCCAAAAGGATCTAAGCCCTTTTCCAAGCTGGCAATAAATCTTCACTACAGATTTTCTCCTCAACCATAAGAGGAGCTCACAGCTGAAAGGCTGTTTCTCCACTCTTTTCCTTCCTTTCCACACTTTCCTGTATCCTGTAAACCCATGACCAAGAGATACAGGGAGCTTACACCAAGCTCTCCGGTTCTTCCCTCTCCTTATCGGTTCAAGGCAGTTCCCCACCTGGTTCTGAGCATCTGTTCTATTGTGCTTTTATCTCCTTTGCTGTATCTTCTCCTTAACTCACTCCTGCCCTCCAAAATAATGAACAAAAGAACCATCACACTCCAGAAAAAAAAGGGACTATTTCTTTCTGCTTCCTTTCTTACAGGTAATTAAGTAGACTAGGTGATGCTTTAGCCAATGACTCTTTGAAGAGCATGGCAACTACTCACAAATTACTGGAAAACTGGTTTATTACCAAGATGAATATAATCAGGACTGCATGGTCTCCAGATGCCTCAGCTGTTGTTTTCTATGCACATGACACTAAATGAAGACCCATCAAATACAAATGAACCTCTGCTGCAGCAGAGACGAGATGTTCTGCGATGCTGCTCAAGGAGGAGAAGGGTTAATGCACACTGGCAGGCAGACACTAGCATCATTATTCGGATGAGATTTAGAGCTCATGTGGACAAGAAAAAGCACTCTCCTTGTCATGTCACCATTTCCAAGTGCTGTGATACAACCATCCCATAGAGTCTATTACACAAACCCATTTGCCCTACTACTACCCAACCACAACCATCTTATTTTCCCTAAGGGTATCTTGAATGTGGACAAAGCAGCAAGCTGCAGGCACTGGCAATTTGTTTGAATTCCACAGCCACAGCTTTCAAAAAAAATCCATACCCTTTTTTGGAAATGTTCCCTTCACCTTACATCTAATATGTGAATTAAAGAGTCATAAAGGCATCAGATTTTCAGACAGTTTTGTAAAAATGAAGTCCTACAAGACCTGTGAAAAGGGGCAATGAGGAGCATCTGTCAGAACATTTCCTATCTAACACCCTGCTTCCTGCCCATAATGATGTCCTTAGGAGAAGAGGAAGCAGAGAACAGGCCACAGCCACACCAATCTAAGACTTTCTCCTCATCTTCCTCCTGAGGACCCTGATCTTCAGTCTGTAGACCTCAACGTCAGCCATGCACATTAGCCACTACACAGAAACAGCAGGCTACGTGAACACGATGAACCTAACCCAGCCACACAGTATGTGCACACCTGGCTATCTGTGGGGAAGGAAAGACACACACATGAAACATGCACATCTCCACCCTTTCGTAACTGTTAGCTTCTATTAACTTGTTGTTAATGATGTGCCTTTTACCTCTACCTGGTCATGACACCTAATTGCTAATTCTGATTCCTAATCAGTACAGAGGCATGAGTTACTTTCAACACAAAAAGCTTTGCTCACACACAGTTTACCATTGTTAGCGGTTGCACAACATTTACTGTAGAAGACAGAACAAAATAAGTTTCATACTAGTCTATAGGCAATTCCTAGTAACCTAACATAGAAGGCAAAGTCCTGCAAAAATGTTGGCAAGGGATCCAAGCCCTTATCTTGGATCTTAATATTAGTTTTAAATAGTAGGAAAACACACATTAGACAGAAAAACTTCTACTCAAATCTCAAAAATTTAATGGAAGAAACAGTAATCTACTAGTGTAGTCAACTCCTGGTTTCAAGAACAATTCCTTCTGGTCATGACTGGAGAGGCCAAAAGCCTTCTAGGGTAACCAGGCTTTTGATCTTTGAAAGACCTGAACTTTTCAGGAAAGAGAGGCAAGAGAAAGCAAGCCTAAACAGTCTCCCTGCTATATGGCAGGATCTCCTCTCTGCTCTGAACAACTCTTGGAAATGTTTGCACATATATATTTTTTCCATTAATGGACAAGATTCTTGTCCCTTCCTGGCCTCAGATCATGTGCGTGACTTGAATGTGACTGTGAAAGAATGCAGATGGTTCAACCAAGAAAAAAAGAGCTAGATTTAATCGGAAATTACGACACTCTTAAGGTCACAATTTACTGGCTACTTTAAGTCCCCTAGGCTTGAAACTGAGGTCAAGATCTATAGGACCAGAGGAACAAAAGATTTAACACTTTCAAAACATCTGCATCACCTACTTTTCATGTGTCTAAGCACAAACAGAACTAAAGCAGTTAAAATTCTCACAAAGCAAGGAACTAAGATGAGTTTGACCAGATATCTGTGCACATAAAAACATACATTCATAAAGGACCAAGCTTGAAATGAGCAGAGATTATTAAAAAAGAAAGAATCTGCCTAAACTTCTCCTATTCATTTTTTTTTCTATATTATGAGATAATAAACATAACCAAAGCAAATAAAGCATATTCTCACTTATTTTCTCAACTTCTTTTCATTAGTACAATTTTTTTCATGAAGATGCATTAGAAGCATTCCTGTTTCTACAGGAAGTGAAAAGAATTTTCATCCTACTGCTTTTCCTCTGATTTTATTGCAGTATGCTCAGGACATATGGAAAAGCTTTAAAAACCTTATACATATCCTTGAAAGTTCTTTCAAGAAAGCAAGCATAAATCACGTATTTGGTTATACTTTTCCTGTTCCACTGATAGATGTCTACTTGGTTATTCAGTAAAGAACAATCACATTCTTTATATTAACTATACACTATTTGGTTTAGGGCAGGTTTATCCAACAGCACAGGTATCAGAAAACAGAAGAGGCCTGTAAAAAGGTAAGAGATGAAGACTAACCCAGAACAACTGAATACAGCACAACACTGAAAAGACTACTGCAGTACTTGTTTAGTAACCTGTTATTATCCAGGACGCTGTAGCAGGCACCAGGCATATAATTTCGTTTCAACATGGGACTAAATGCAAGAGTAAACAAAAAACCCAACTCTCCCAAATCTACCAACCTGTGTGCGTAATTTGAACCATAAATAGAAAATATTGCCTGGCAATTTGCAGCGCACATACCCATTATAGAGGAAGTCTAATAGGAAGCACACATTCAGATAAAAGTATCTGCAGTTAGTTTTGCCAGACTGCCATTTCAGTATTGCCTCTATTCTCCCTTCTCCAGTGATGGACAAATCACTGCAGACAGTGTGGCAAACCAAGAGCAGGAAAAAACAACGAAACCTGCAAATAAGCAATTTTTACTGCCAGTCTCCAAAGGAAGACCTGCCCTAGAGGTAAGGCATGTTCCACTCGACAGCGTTCCATTAACCCCTCTTTGGGGCCACGCAGCATAGGATTTTATAAGCTTTAAAGTTATCTGGCTTTACTCAACGACAAAAACTAAAACTCCCAAGCCTGGAAAACTTAGACAAGCCTATTTTAATATTAGGAAAGTGATATCCAGAAGATGTCACTTTTAACAGTTTTCTGAAAGATAACTCGGCCAG